CCTACAGGATAAAGCCAAAGTCCGACAGAGCCTTATCGACAGGAAAAGGCTCTGGCTCTGGCTCTGAGTGGGGGGAAAAGGGAAATCTTGGGTGCAAAAAAGCAGCATTAGAGCGATAGAGAGAAGGACTCTGTCATTGCCATTTCAATTTCCGTTTGAATTTTGCACTTCATTTCGCAAGTTCGCAATTTTCTTCTCAGAAAAAATACACACAATAAAAAAGAGTAAGGAAAAAAGTGGGAGTGGATATAAAAAATGGTAACGAATCGGGAGATACCTTAGAAACTTTCTAAGAAGAAATATTTCTCCTAAATATAATCAATAAATAATCAAATTAAGTGCTAAATTAATTAGGAAAATAAAGAAACAATTTTATTTTGTAGAAGAAAATACTAGATTTAAAATTCTTTAAAAATTTGACAATTTCTGGACATTTTTCTACTGCAATTTTTGGATATGAGAATCTTATTTAACCACAAATTTTGTGTTTAAATAATGCTCTTATCCCTTAGTGGAAATTCCCCTCACAATGCAGAATAAAATCCATACCAAATCTTCCTTCTTTATGCTATCTGTTGAGCCAATTCAATCCCACATGCCCATCACTAATATACCCCACACTCTCAACGAATAAAATACACAAAAGCAGGGGGGGGGGGAGGGAGGGTGGGAGAACAGAAGGCAATGCAAATACGAAAGTGTATAAACAAAACAAAACAAAACAAGCGTGCGTGGAGATGGAGATGGAGGAGAAGGCAACACTCGAAATGAAAGAGACGATGACAATAAATTGTCACAGTAAAAAAAAAAAAAAGCGATGGAAGATACCCAAAGAACTCAGCTTCTGCTCTTCTCTCTCTTCATGATAATGATGGAAAATCATGGAGCCCAAGCCGGAGACAATTGCACGTAACAGTGACTCCTGTCGTTCTGCCGTGCCGTCTTGCCCTTCGTCAATGGAGGGCCTGTCCTGGCCCTGGCCTGGCCTGGCCTGCTGTTTATTTGTTTGACAAATAACGAGGAAAGCCCCATAATGAAGGAGGTGCAAATGATGTTGGCATTGTTTATTCGACTGCGAAATGTAATAGGCGCCTTCCAAGAAGACTCCTTGGCAGTCCTGTGGGGCGGGGTCTTGACTCCAAGATCTGCGATGCTCTGCTCTACGCTGCTTTGCTTTGCTTTGGGCTGCTTTTTTATGGCTGATTTGACAGGAAACGGAAACGCGAAATTGCAAAAGCGCAATAAAGTGTAGCATAAACAAAGGCGCACGAATGCTGAATGAATCTACCATTCAGATAGAGGCTAGGATATAGGGGCCTAGAGACAGAGATAGAAGAGAACAAGTGGAATGTTTCAACTTGAAAGTAAATTTGTTTGCCCCTCTCTTTGCTGCTTGTTTTTTTGCCGCACATTTGGCATTATGCTTTATCTGGTTTTCCCGTATTTTTGTTGGCCGCCACTCGAAACAGATTGTTGTTCGTTCTTCCATCTTTTATCTACATTTTTATATTCAATTTGTTGCGTGATTTTTGTGTGGTTTCCGATTGTACAGATTGTTATATGCATTGAAATGTCACCAAAAGTTTGAGTTGCAAATGGGAGTGGAATATGCATGTCGTGGGGTACAAACTAGATTGTAAAATATTGCAAAAATATAAGCAGTGGATAAGGGAAAAGATAGTTAAAGCATTCTTGTTCTCTGGTTACTATACCTTTTTTTTAAGGGAATTCCTCTCCTTCCCGAATCAACCAATGCCCAACTAGAACATTCAAATTAACGCTTATCGGCGGCGGCACAGAGACTGTACATACGCAATGCATACGATGATGCCATGCAAACATGTAGAGGACACACAAAATTTCTTAATTTCCACTCGCTAGCTCCTATATTTTTACCGCCCCACTCTTATAGTCGTTGCCTGTGCCCAGTCGATGCTTTTTGGCAGAGATGTGTGCAAAATAAATGGCACAAAAGTGGCAAAGCCGCAATGTGTCTGGGTGGTACTTGGTCTTTCGCTCACACAAGCAACCTCACTCGCTCGCACTCACTGTATGCGACCACGTCCATACAATCAGGCGCCCATTTATGCACTAATTAAAATTTTATCGTTAAATCTTGTTTGCATGCATTGGCTTCGAGTAGAGAGGAGCAGCGAGCGAGGCAGAATCGAGTGGAGCAGCGAGGAGTATTGCCAGCGAAGAGTTCCATTGCTGCTGCTGTTGGGGAGGAAGTTCTGGGAGTCCTACCAAAGCAGGAGCCACAGCATTGCATGCATGGAAAATTGCAGAACCCAACCCAACCCAACCCCTGCCGAAAATGTATGCAATGCGAATATTTTTCGTTTCCAAAATGTTTGGCAACAGTTATTTGCACTTGCCCTTCCGAAGGATGCTGCCCAGTGCCTTGTACCAAAGCGCATTTTCATTGCATTTTCATATTTTATCCCTCGATAAGTGCCCCCCCTCCCCACAGTACGTTCCGCATGGATGGCTGGCATAGAACGGCTGATTCATGGTTTGACCTTTGAGCAGCATTTAAAATCGTGAATGTGAATTGCATGCTAAAACAGCTATCACTACACAAAAATCACTGTCATTGCCATTTTGTCAAGCATTTTCAACAAATTACATGCCCCTCCCCCACCGCACCCACAGCTACCAGATTTCATCTAACGCCAACGGGCAATGGAAACCGAAATTCAATTTTGCCGAAACCAAATTTTGTGAAACCAAAATCCAAAAAGTCGGAACACAACTTTTTCCCCAGCATCTCCTCTGCCTCTCTCTCTCTCTCGCTGATAACTTTTTTAATTTAATATATATACTACACTGCGTATGCGTAATTTTTGTGGCTTTAAGCGGCAGCTGTCTGTCGCCTATTGCCACGGCGCAAATGCCACAAAAAGTAAGGAAGCAACAAAAAAAATTTAATTAAAACGTTGCATAAATGAAATAGAAATTCAAAACTCGAAATTGCACGCAAAATGAATAATTGAATGGACACACGACAGTTGGTAGTCACCAACAGTCACCGACAGTCAGAACTAGTCGACTGTTATTATACCCGGTAATCAAAGAGTAAATAGGGTATATTGTATTTGTGGGGAATAACGGTTGTATGTAACGCACAGAAGGAAACGACCATATTCTTGATCAGCATCAATAGACGAGTCAATAGAGCCATGTCTGTCTGTCCGTCCGTCCGTCCGTCCGTCTGTCCGTCTGTCCGTCTTGTTTGTCGGCTAGTTCTCAAAGACTATAAGAGCTAGAGCCACCAAATTTTGCATCCAGACTGCTATATGCTCACACTGAAACCAGTGTATTTAAAAAATGAGCCACGCCCCCTTACGCCCCCACAAAAGGGCGAAAACCTCCCAAATGCACAATTTTGAATATAAAAGAATATAATTAATTAGCGTAAGAAGCGTCTCACACGTCCCTTCTCGTTTTTAGTTAATTTTTCGTCAACGCATTTCGGTTGATTGATCCCCAACATTGATTCCGTGTGGACGAGTCGAAATCTATGCTCTTGATAGTTTTTGCTGCTATATATCATTACAGTGACGCAGTTAGGGAATAAAAAGAGGGAATATAGATTAGATATTACACGGAAATTTTCCTGGATATGCATGAAATGGAGAGCAGAGAATACTGAGAACTTTTTGCACGTTGAATAATCCAAAAATTGATGGAAAAAATAAGAGAAATGCTGAGCATGCGGCAGACTATTATTCCGATATTATTCCCGGAATATTATTCCGCACCATTCACTGCGTGTCATCCCACTGTACACAGCATTAGCTGTTCATTTTCTAGTCAGTAAACAAATCAACCGCAAAAACAAATTACTAATTTAATTTTCATTGCACTTTCAGTATATTTGTTTGTGTACTTTTTTGTACAGCCCCATGTATATGTAAATATATTCTTGGTGGTGGTTTGTTGGTTTATAAATCTCCTTTATGGCTGGTCGCAAATGTACCCGAGATTCCAGAGATGACTTTTTCAAGTTTATGTGCTTAAGAGCTAAGCAGTTGGCAGGCCCACAGGAAGGGCATTGCTGGCTCACAAAAAAATAAGAATAAAGGGAAAGGTTCAAGTTTATGTTTCGGCTTAAGAAATACTCTGCAAATAAGTTAATTTCTGATGGAACTAAGAAGAAAATTATCTAATTGGTATTTAAAAGCCTCACAACTCTGAAAGGTTAATTTTTGGCTTAGAGAATATTATTTTTCTCAAGAATTGATTTACTTTTTCCTGTCAATAATGCCTCACCGACAGCTAGAACAAATTGTACAAAATCGTTATAATTGTGGACTAATCTCCTTAGTTCTCCCCAAGTGCAACTTGCCCTTACACCCTTACATTCACGGGGTATCATGCTAAAATAAAGACAAACTTATTTATTACCTTTGTTTGGAGACTTTATATGACACAAACGCGCCGCCTCACCGCACCGCACCGCACCTCTCCTCACCACACCACCCGCGACAGAGGATGGCACTTGAGAGCAAATGACATTAGCATTGTCTTTGCCTCTAACCCCCCTACAATCTCAGCACCCTCTGTACACCCTATAGATATAGGAATATCCTCATATCTTGCCCATATAGTTGTTGCTTCTGTGGGGGTCGTCTGTTGCTTCTTTGTGGCCTCTTGGAAAGTCTGCCCAACTTTCTTATCGCGTACAAAATGTTTTTATTCTCTTTTCGTTGGGTGTATTTTGCAACTGATTTTGTTTTTTTTGTGGCTGATGTGGAGTATGTGTGTGGGAGCTGGAAGCCAGTGTCTCGTTTAATCCATGGTAATGCTGCCTTCACTTGAGTTACTTTAACTTTTTTGAGGGGGCAGACGATGGCCTCTGTCCTTTCTTTTATGAATTAATTTCGGTTCACTTTTTATTGGCCAATTTTGTGGTGATTAATAGATTTTGCGTATATGAAGTGGGGTTTTGGGCTGAATTCCTAGAACCATCTGTCATTTTCCATTAATATTTCTTCCTAAAATTTCAAGTAAAAATTGTACAAAATGTGTGAAATCCCTGAAAACTTTGTTACCTACGATATGGTTCACAATTTACGCGGCGATAAAAGTAAATTTAAAAAGGTAACCACTCAAAAAAACCTCCAATAAAAATCGAAAAATATCTCTAAACTGCGATCCCCCATAGCATCGCGATCTGCGACCCACAAAATACTGGCCTGGTGCGCGTTTTATGGTTGTCTGCAAAAATGGGGATCTGAATACGGCCACCTATGCCGTGGCTGGCTTCATGCAGGAGCCCTTTCAACTATTTCCCTTGGCCACGGTGGCCGTGCATAGGTCGATACGCGATGAGTTTATTGCGATGGTCAGGAGTCGTTTCAGGCAGCTGAAGCCGCATGTGGCCAATCATCCGAACTATGAGAGATCGCTGAATCTATTGCAAGATGGCCACAATCCGGTGGACTATATAATTGCCGATGAGAAGGATGCTCCTGCGTGTGCAAGTCCCGTTTTGGTGACGGGTGGCGTTACACATTTATATTTTCCCAGCGGTGCCACGGGCGTCACCACGTTGCACACCTTCGAAACGATACACGAGGCGGCGGAAATCTTTTGCAAGGAGCAGCCCAACTTTGATGCCGTTTACTATTTCGATGAGAGTATTGCTAGTGTCTATACACTGGCGAAGCACATCAAGTGCGTGCAGATTTATGTGAACTGTTTGGATGCCTGTCTGCTGGCCATTATGCCGTACTACACGTCCAAGGTGCAGACGGTGCTGTACAAGAATGGTTTCCACTACGAAGTGCTCAATATCGGTGGCAGTTGGAAAATTATTGTATTTCCCTATAGTTCGAGTATCCTGCGACCCTGCTGCTGTCCTTTGGGCTACTGCCGCTGCTATGCCATGCATACGGTGTGCTGTCAGGATCATTTGAATACACAGTTTTGAAGAGTCCTCTAACTTCCGCTGCTGATGTCTGCCGTTTCCAATGACTACTTTTGCGGGAGACTGTGGGCCACACATGTGTGCCATAATTTTCGCGGTAGTTGGCTTTTGGATTGCCACAACTCAGTCTATCCTGCTGCTTTGCCTCACTCCTTTTTTGGCCAACAGACTGTCGCCGTTTCGTGGCTTTTAATAAAAGTTGCTGAGCACAGACGCCGCCAAGTATTTGCCAACAAAAAAATAGCCCAACTGTGGATAAAACTCTTTCAGAGTGGAGTTAAGATGAGGCCAGAGATGGTAGATGGAGTTGAGAGAAGTTCGGGGCTGAGCTGGATGAGAAGTTGCCCTCGAAATTAGGGGATGAGACTTCTGCCCAAAACGAAGAAAAGTCTGAACAGCCATTAGTTGCGGCTGCTTCTGAATGATTGCGGCATGCGACTTTGCCCGCTTTTCGGGGCTATAGCCAAGTTTGTGTATGCCAACTTGTTAATGAGTTTGCTAGGCAAAATGCGCCGGGAAAGTATTGGGGGGCAGACAGTCGAAAGAGGCCTCTATTCAGCACTTACTTACCTTCACAGAGATTTATATTTTTGGCAATGAAATGTTGCAATCACTGTGGCATCTGTCCTGTCTGCCTGCCTGTCTGTCATTCGTGGCTGCAGTGCAGAAATCCTTTTTGCCCTTGCCCCTGAAAGCGTGACAGAATAACTGACTGAAGGACTGACTGCCGTCGTGGCTGACTGACTGACTGACTGTTTATTTGTCAGTCTTGTCTGCAATTTTGATCCCCAGACTGACATATTTTGGCCGCACTTTGCAACCATTTTCGTTTTGCGCGACTAGAAGTAGTTTTATTGTGGCAATAAAAAATGTGAGGATGCCAAAAGGATGTTCCACAGACGATTTATGGAATTAGTTTGCTCTTTTATTTCTTTCTTTTCTTGACTGATGGTGGAATATGTATGTTAAGAAACTTAAAATAAAAGAAGAAACAAACAAAAAAGTGCGCAAAGGCACTGTGGACCAGAAGGTACAATGGGATATGCAAATTGGATTAAAACTATACAGAAATGTAGGTTTTTGTATTAAGTTTTTTATTAAATTGTATTGTATAACGTTTAATTGCTTAAGTAAATGTAAATAAGCAAATAATAGCCAACAAAATTTTATTTAAACTGATAAATATTAAAAAAAAAGATGTTCTCATTTTCCAACGTTTACATCTTTTTTTAAACGATTTTTTTAAGAAATAGTTGTCCAAAATACGATGACAGGCCATTCAAATGGCTGCCGCTGCCACTGTTACACCCGTCTGTCCTTTCTGCCCAAAAACAAACTAAAAAAAATAAAATAAATAAATACCTCCTCATGGCTGCCGACTTGAGTTATTTGTTTCACCCGTCCATCTGTCTGTCTGTCTGTCTGGGGCGTCAACACGACATAAGTTCTGATTTATGATCCGGGCACGCCCACTTGTTGACCGCTTGCGGTGCGGTGCCATTCACAGCAGCAGCTGCTAGACGCTCTAGGACTCTATTGAATTCAAGGGCCAACAAAAAAATACTTGAGGTTTTTTCTATGTACTCGTGTTGCAACATTCTCTGTGTGGCAGTCACCCTCGAACATAACATTTTCGTGTTCGTGTTCGTTTATGTTTATCAAAAATTTGTGTGAACAATCAAGTGGGTAACCAGGCTGCCCCCCAGCGGTTATGTTCCCCGTAACAAAATGTCTCTCAAAAAGTGACCGCAACAATTTGAAAAACATTACCCATACGACATGTATGACATACCGGAGGGGGCACAGCGCAGGGTGTGGGTGGGAAAACCAACTCAACCATAGAGACAGAGACAGAGCCAGTGCGCCAGTGTATTTTCAACACCTGCTGCTGGTCAAACAAATCGTGTTCATTTCGGTACAAACACTAATTTCGACAAGGTGCAAACAAGCTGACGATACAGTGGGAGAGAGAGGGGGAGAGCGCCAAGCTTTGGGAACACAAACCATACACGGACAATGGCAGGAGGAGGAGTACAGTTACACATAGAGAAAAAAGCGCGCTGAAATGAGAATATTTGCACTTAAATTTTAATATTCTTATTTAGATTTGAATATTTAAACCAACAGATTTGCATCCCAGTGCAAAAATTGTAAAAAGAAAGTGTTTTAAATCTATTTCCAACATCAAATAAAATTTTTTTATGGATATAAAAATATATATAATATTTAAAATATTCAAATAAAAATGGGAAACAAAAAATTAAATATATAATAATAAATTTAAGGTACTTTTAAAAGGTTTTTAATAAATTGATATATGAACAAAAGTGAATTTATTTTAGTTTAACTATTTTTTGTATTTAAAAACCAAATATTAATTTAGTTGCACTATTTTTTTTTATTTTTAAAAATATTTTAAGTTTTTGTGTTACTTAAAACATTTTTCTCTGAGTGTAGAAACAGCCACAGAGGAACAGAGGTACAGGAACAGAGACAACGGCACATGCATGTCACGTGCAGTGACTGTACAGGTTTTCGGGGGTCCCATATTGGGGCAGAAGCTGAAGGTGGTGGCGTCTCACAGTAGTCACAGCGGCGGAGTAGAGCAGCAAACTCTCGAAGCTGCTCTGTGCCTGGTCGACGACAGATAAAATGCTTTTTACCCTGTGTGAAAAATGTAAAATTGCATTTGTAACCGCATTTCATTAGAGAGGAAGAAAGTCAACCGTCAGGTGGCAGGGCAGACACAACGCGCGTTCTCACAGGACAGGACAGAGTTTCCACCGGTGAAAAGTTTCGGGAAAACTATAGACGTGGCAGGGAGGGGTGTGGAGTAGGGTACAAAGTGGCAACAAAGTTAGCAGCCGCGTTCCGACGAAACAAGCGTCACGGTCAATGGTGGCAACAACGATGCAGGAGACAAAACGGAAAGCAAACTATGCATTCCCTGCCAAAAAGGGTGTTGGAAATCGAGGACCCTGTCCTGTCCCTGTTCTGGCATTGCATTTGTGCCGGGACATAAACATGGATTCTGTCTCCGTCTGTCTGTCTCTCTGTCTGTGCTGCGGCGGCGGGCCTGTCTGCCCTGCTGCATCTGCATTTGCCTGCTGCATGTGCCTCATCCCCCTCATTGTCTGCTTGTTTAGGCCTTTAAATGTCCCGACAGAGTCCGCCTGAATGTTGATACGAGTGCCCAAGTTCTGGGTTATCGATATGGCAACACATTTCAGGGATATAAATACATAATGGGCCCGGGCTTTGAACAGGGAAAACTACTGTATATGACATGGGGAGAGGTGTGTTTGGATTGATTGGGTTTCAGATATTCCAACAGCAAAAAGGGTGCCCAAAAATAGTGATACATTGCATAGAAATTTATAGAAAAAAATAAGCTCAAAACAGGCGCGTAAGAAGCCCACAAACACTGCCAGAATTTCATCTTTAGTCATGGATTTCCCGACATTAAAATCGAAACAAATCCGTAAGCGGTCTGTAGTCTTATTTCCCAACCCTTGATCTGCCATTTATTGTTGTAGAAAACGCATGGAATTTCGTAGGTTTTATTTATTGCGAAATCATTTTTACAGTTCTGATGATGGGCTCATCCATAAATATAATTTGTACACTCGTTTTTTTGTCGCTTTGTTCGACCCGTAAAGCACAGCAAAGCATCTTTGTGAAATCTCTAAATGGTTTGCAAAACTTTATGTCAGCGACAGACGACAGAGATAGCACATCGGGAAAAGCCTGCTGCTGCTGCCGTGACCGTGCTTGTGCCCGTGACAACTTGACAAATGAATGATCGGGGCCGCCGCATAGCGGCCAACCTCAGACATCAGGCTGCGATGCTGGACTGCTGGACAGAGGCCGTTGCAGCCAGGAAAACGAATGAGGGTTGGGGCCCTGACGCGTCGACAAACCGCAAAAAGCGAAACGACGGCAATCGACCAACCGACCCAACCAACAACATCAACAAAGGGCAAAAATGAACCACCGCCAAAAACATTTGCAGTGCAAAAGCACCGATTACCGATCGAGGGGGAAGCCATGGAGGAACGACCCATAGGCCCGCTGAAAGTGCTTTCTTTTTTTGCTGTGTCTGTGTCTGGCTGTTGGTTGGTGTCTGGTGCATAAATTCCATCATATGATATCAATTAGTGATAGTGCGGTGCGACTGCAAATGTCATTTGCAGAAAATGCGCATATTTTAAAGCGTGACAGACAGGCAGAAGGACCTCTTTTTGGGGAACACCAAACCTGCTGCCCAACGCTAACAGAGCGAGAGCTCTTTTGAATGCGCTATTACGGGTGTAAGGGGGTGTTACGGCTACGGGAAGAGATATGAGGAAAAAAGGAATCTTCGAATGAATACAACAAAATCGAATGAAGAGAATGAGAGAGTAAATCGGAATGTGTGTTTAAAAGCGGCAGAAGGCTAGCTTCTATAGGGCCTTAGAAATGTTGCTTTGACATCTGCGGGGATAAGGAAAGATCTATTGCCCATACTTGAATATTCTAAGAATTTTCACCCCTCCAAAAGGGCATTCAAATATCACCTTAAACGACTCCCCACTCAAAATATTGTCTCACTTGATTTTGTTGTTTTTTGTGTTTCATGGAGACCATAAAAACCAAACAGAAAATGGCCAAACGTGTACCAAAAAACCTGCCCTGCCTGAATGCGCCGCGCTGCTTGGTCAGCCACATAAAAATCAGCTCTTGCCCGCATCAACTGCATGAAACAATGGGAGGGCAAGTGGTGGCAGTAAAGGCAAAGGGATGGGGACACAGTGTGGCATATGAATATGCAACGAAGCTCAGCGATGATGACCACGAAATGAGGGTGTGGAGGGGGAACAGGAAGAAGGCCTGCAACGGATATGGCATGCAGGTGCAATCTCAAACAGAACTTACCACGAGAGGAGATGCCACAAAAAGGGTGGAAACAAAGGTTGAGCGAAGCTAGAGATGCACTAAAAAATATACAGAAAGCTGAGCTACACTGGGAGAGAGGCAGATCAGTCATAAAAAGAGGAATCTTCTGGCGAAAATTGTAGATTAAAAGTTAAGCCACAAAAAAAAAAACCCACCCATAGCTCAAAACTGCTTCCTTTTCTATCTGCCACACAAACACATCAAAAATCTTAAGACCTCCATTAAAAAAAGTGTATCAAAATGAATGGTTTGAAGGGTAAGGAGAACATGTCACCGTG